GCGATTCATTTTTTGAACTTAGAGACTTAGCGACTGCGGCTTTTCTTTTCAGTTTTAAGGCCATCCTTTTCCATTGTATCAAGAACTGTTGTATCAAAATTTAATAACTTTTGGATCACTTATTGGGAGAGAAAATTGGCAATTCCAACAGCATAATGCTTGTAGTAGACAATCCACAATTTCACAAGCAATGTCGCCTCCGTGCTTGTGAAGTTGTGGATTATCTACTGGAGCGAACGACTGATGGAAAACGAAAGCAAAGTATCTTAATCTTTGTTAAACGTTGCAACTTTATTTATATACTTAAGTGTAATGAAATTAAATAAAACTTTATTATTTTTGTATAATACAATAAACGTTTTGCGATTTTATATATGAAAATAAAAAAGTAGCGTATTTTTAAGATTTGTAGCCTGAAGATAATTATCACTAGCCCAAAAAGTAGCGTGTCGCCCAATTTGAAATTTTTGTAGCGAGAGCACTTAAAAAGTAGCCCAATCCGCTACTTGTAGCCCAATCTGGCATCACTGGTTAGAGATTAGGAACAAAGTGAGGTCAAAGGGCGAATGTCAAGTAGTGGCGCCCTCTATCCTACACGTCAAATTTGTTTCGGTCTCACGTTTTTACTATATTAGATAATGTTAAAAAAACCCACTTGTAACGACATAAAACCGTTTTAATGTCATATTTGAAGCACTCCCAAATTTACAAAATTAAATTACAAATTTTATTTAACATAGAAGAAACTACGTGTTCAGTCTTGAAGTCAGAGTTCACTTCTTAAAATGAATGTGGGTGGTAATCTCCCCTGCCTGACTAGGGTGGGGTGAGGTAGCTGTTTTGCCTGTTTGTAGAAAATAGTCGCCATTTTATTTTGACTAAATTCTCGGTCCCCTGACTAACTACGAGTCTGGATTTTTTATGCTCAAATGATTTGGGCACCTAATATTCTGTGCCAAATATCAACTCTCGACATGTATTCTTTCATACTTCTATGCTGGTAAGAAAATCGGGCCGAACGCTCGTATAAACAAAAAATAGTCTTGTCAAATATGTAAAAATCCTAAACAGATAATTTGACTAAGCCACGAAAACTAGGCACATTAATGTAAATATATTATCATTCCAATTTAACAATTAAACAATGCATCCCAGCACATTAACAGTTGTCAAAAATCAACTCGAGTTATATAGCGTAATGAATGTATATGATTAGAGATGCCATGTCAGTCACTGTTTCATTGAGTGATAACCAATGTATAGTTATATCCAAACACGAAATAGACCACAAAAACAATGTGTTAGTATGCAAATGAAAAAAAATCACAGATATACATTATTAAAATATTAAAAGGCATAGTTTGAATATAATTAAAAAATATATCCTCCACAAACTAAACATTTACTTTAAAATATATTTTTTTTAAATACAATTTACCATTTTATAAATTATTTTCTCATTTTGAATTGAATATAGTTAATATTTTGGACAAGGTCAAATTTATTTTATAATAAATATTTTATGGAAAACTTTATTTGATGGAAATGTATATTGAAATATAACTATCAAAAGACACAATTTTTAAAGTAATTAAAGCATATCAGGATAATCGACAATGAAAAAAGCTATCTCCTTCGCTTTTTTAGCTTCTAATTAAATTTTAAAAAATATTTTTAGCAGTCCCGTATCAGAAATAAAAATTTTACACACTTTTTTACGCTGATGACCCATATAACACAATAATAACAAATGCAGAAGGTCAAAAAAATGAGAACGTATTACTATTATATATAGTGTAAATTATCAGTTTCAGAAAGTACAATAGTTTACGTAATGAGTATAATTAAATTGAATACACGTGTCACTCTCTCTTCATAAAGTATATATACATTGTGTTTTTTCATTACCCTTAAAATTACGTAAGCTGTTCCTATTTTTCTTCACCCCATATTAACCCCAGCTGTTTCTTTTTTCTGTTTACATCGTGGTCATATTATGCAAATTTCAGCTGCGCAGGCAACTGCAACCGCGACAGCTATTTCCGTAAACTAGTAAACCCCTTTTGAATACCAGCGCGAGTGCAACCGCGATTAGAAAAAAGATATGTAGCTAAAATATGGCAAATACTCTGAAATAGGACATAGAATGTAAATAAACTTACGAAAGTAATCAAATATAAACTATTGTTATTTTATTGGTTTATAGCAGACATGAGCAAATGCAGCTTTCTTTGAGTTATATGCAGCTATTTCTGAAAGTGTTATTTTCTGCTGTTTATTATTATTTTTACAATTTTATTTCTACAATTTTGTGAAAATTTGTATATTACAAAAAATTTAATATTTGTTTGTAAATCGCGGTACAGAAATGCAATACACAATAAAAACGTACAGAACTGCGACTCTCATGCATTTTGAAAAACCTACATTTTCGCTCCCACTGAACTTTTGCTTGCCCATCCCTGGATTATAAGGTCACGTTTTTCCATGTTGCAACGTAAGCGAACAATGTTTGACCACGATAAGACGTTCACGAGTCACGCTTGTTGCAGTTGTGGTCGCCTGCACGGCTGGAAATTGCACGGGGCTACCAAATCTTTAGTCTTAATGTGACATTTAAACATTTGGTTTGTAGTGATGTATATACGAGATTTTTAACCACCATAAATAATGCATAACGTCTAAATTCCTTTTTAATTTTTTGCTGCATATTTTGAAAATTTATACATAATCCTCATTTACTTTTTACTTAATCGTTCCACTGCTTGTTAATTGAAGTTTCTGGTAAAAAGTTTTAAGAGACACTAATAGAACATTCTATATAAACTGTATATAATATTTTTACAAAATCATATAAAAAGGTAATTATTAATACCTGGTAACGTAATCATTTTACCTGCAAAAACTCCATTCATATTAAATATATTTGAGATAAAATATTCACAAAATTAATTTTTTAAGTTTCAAATAGATTAAGTAGAAAAAAAGTTAGTATCTTACAATATCAATACATTTATTATGACTATAGCTTTTGTAATTATTTTTTTATTTAGGAAGCAGATCTGGCTTTTGTACCTGTTGGCATCAACTACGAACGCTTTTCTGCAATGGATTTCACGTCAGTTTTTACTTTTTACCCTGTAGTTTTTATTATTAAAGCTCCAGATAAGATTTTTGATTGGAATTCTGTTACGAAGCCTTTTAGTTTAAATGTAAGTAACAATAACAAGTGTTAAACTATAACTAAAACTCAAACATAAAGTTTTATTTCATGTAATCAGGTTTGGATAGCTATATTTTCTATTGTATTGATATTTGGACTAACGCTATACAAAGTGCTAAAGAAAGACTTTATCGTTGATAACACAGGAAAACAATGGACTATATGTACAGTATTTTGGAATTTAATTTGTACATTTCTTGGCGAAGGTAAAACACTTTAATTATGACATAACACAAATCTTAAGTTTTATATAGAAAACTTCTATTGAATTCCATTTAGGATTGAATCTAGACAAAGTACAAAGGTTCGCGTCTAGATTCATGATAGGAATTTGGTGGTTATCGATTCTTGTTTTGATATCCGGTTACAGTGGGGCGTTAATGTCTTTTATGACATGTCCTTTAACTGAGTCTGTTCCAAGAGATTTTCAGGAACTTGCTGTTTTTGTCCGCAACGGAGAGTTCTCATGCGGAACATACAAAGGATTTTTTGTGTGGAAAGACATCATGGTAAGTNATATTCAACGCTTTTTTTTCAGTTTACAGCAGTATTTATTACACAAAATTTAAGTAAAGCTTAACATGCCGATCTTGCCCCGATCTCCCCTAACTTTCCTGGCTGTTATAAAACATTATACTAAAAATAACTTTTATATAATTCATCTTATTAAATAACTAAAATTGCGTGTGGCGCCGTCTGTTGTGATACTGTGTTATGAAAAGTTTTATGTTTGTGTTGTAGTAAACACTAGTATTGTGTTTACTACATACTACGACACAAATATAAAACAGGACACGGTTTCAAAAAGAAAATCAAAAAAATTTTATGCTTTGAATTGTTATAAATTGCAAAACCCATAATTTTGTAAGTTATAAAAAGTTTTATTAAAAAAAACACTAAATACTAAGAAGTAAATTTTGAATAATTTGAACTCTACTCAACACTAACAAAATTTAGTAACATTAATACCTCTTGTCCAAGCTGCTGTGATAAATTTATTCACTGAATCTTTACCTGATCCTGTTATATTAAGTGAAATAGATGCAAACACACAAAAGCACACATTGATATTCAAACACAAAACATACATCTACGTAATTTGTTTTTCTACTTTTTGAATTCAGGCTGTCTGGAAACATGGAAATTTGCAAAAAAAACTTGGAGGGTTAAATGTAGCAGCTTTCACTACGATCTATTAATATGTAGGCTTTACAAAAAGTCTGTATAAGAAAAACACAAATACCTATCTTTAGATGATTGTTGTACAACAAATCTAATAGCTATCAAAAATAATTTTATACAGAAATATAAATATTGTAATTCTAGTTGTTATATTATCTACACTTCATGATATGAAACAGATTGCTGTATTTCAGGAAATAATCTAAAAATAAAAATAGCAATAGCTCAAACTACTCTTTACATAATACAACTATTATTAATTCCTTCATCCTTGTTAACAATTATAAAACGGCATTTCCCTTCACTTTTCCAAATGTCTTTGACTTTATAATAACAGAGTATAAATAGAAAATTATCAGGAACATCGAAAGAGAAATTTTTCACTGCAGAAACACAAGCATTCAAAAATCTATATAAAATTGGACAGGCAAAATAATTTTTATAGTTGCCATATATAACCACGAAACCATACATCCCCACGATTGTAGCTTAAATATCAAACTAGTTCTGTTTAAAAAAGTAATTTATATGAAATACTAGCCGGTTTTTAAAACCAACAGCCAATCGTTTTTTAAACTCTAACAACCATACGTTTACTATCTACAGATAAAAAAATATATTGCTATAACACACATATTTCTAACATCATTAATGATGAATGGTACACATGTTTATTAGTTGTGATTAACAAAGAACATTATGTGGGGTCTTCACGAATTAGATTACAATACAGACTATACAGTAGAGAACGCAATTTTGAAAAATTATGAAATACTTAATTTAAGTTTTATCATTGTTTTATTTTTTATAAACCAGTTTGTATCATTACTTTATATTAAATTCTTATACAAATTAATTTTATAACAAAAGAGTGTATCTGATCTATACTACTATAATCAATGTATAAAAACATAAATATGGAATAAATATCCTATGAAACAACATGACATTTGCAAACAACACTATGTTGGCTGATATTTCTATGCATTTCTTACAGTGGAATCAACATAAAAATTAGTGCAATAAAAAAAAGAATTTTAGAACACGAAAACAACAAATTAAACAAAAATAAAAGCTGCTTATAGCTGGCAAGATATAAAATGTGACTTCGAGTAATTAAACAGATTTGATATTTTTAATTAAATATATTAGTCAAACTGTATGGTTTATATACACTTCATATTATTCCTGAATATTCTAATTCACCTAAGAAAACTGCAGTTTTCACAAATCTATCATTCAAATATATATTTATTTCTACATACTTTTTAACTAAATATTATATTGAATGCATATATGTACATTTCAGCTCTAAAACTATGGGTTCGATTAACTCATAGTATTATACTTTTATCTTGTTATATGATGTTAAATTAAAACATTTTAATCTTAGTTTAAAAAAATATATTTCAAAAAAATATAAATTATAAGACATAAAATTATGTTTTTCAGTTTAGTTATTTTGCATATATTTAATTGTGATATTTAAATAGTTACATTATAGTGCACCCGATAAAAAAAGCCCTTGGATATCAAGATATAAGTGGTAAGTGGTATGGAATTACAGGACAAGTTGCAAACCAGGTGAGTAAACATAAAATTCAAATGTTTAAAATAAGTTAATGTTTAAAAAGCTAATTTTACTATCAATAAGTAAAACAACATAGCCGTATTTGGGACAAGACTATATCTCAGAGACTCACTACTAAGCGGAATTACTTTGACATTCAAGCGAGTCTCATTCTCATTTTCCAATTTTTTTCAGTATCTCTAGTTTTCAGCGCGATCATTCAGATTTTGCCGGCCATGTTTGCACTGTCGTCCACGATGCATTTTTGGTGAATTTAACCTATTTATGTCGAAATTTCTATCCATTGCGTGTTGGCCTGAGTCGAATTTTTGTTAATGAGTAACGAAATTTTTCAGTTCTTGAAATAAATAATCGTGGCTATTGTATTGTCTGAAATTATTTTTTTATTTTGCACAACTAATATCCAGTTTAATTCAATTATAACGTCATTGAATGTAACGACAAACTTAGTATAACGTCTGTAGCAGCGTAGCTAAAATCTGTATATGGGTCATTCTAAGTTAAGAGGTACTCACTGGTTAAGAGATGTGGCCACGACATAAATGTTAGAAATTTAATCTAAATATGTAACATTTTTATTGAAATAACTAATTTGTGCATATCTGCAAGGCGGCTAGTCAATTTATTTATTTTATCTTGTTTTATGAATGACCAGGGGAGATACTCAATACAGGGGGGAGACTAGGTGTACAGGGTAGGATACTTTATGAACAGGGGAGAGAGAGACTTTAACATTGCTTTATGAAAGAAAATAGACTTTTTTTTAAGAATCAACTTTATTTATTCATTTTATAATTATTAAATTATCAGACTGTTTATTTTCAAGCAGCCTGTTAATATCTTCATTCTGAGGAGGTGGTAGTAGCAGTGGGTCTTCATTATCCGAACTAGGAAGGGTTGAGGATTCATTACTTATGACTTGAAGTGCTAAAAGACATCTACGATTCTTTGCTTTTTCTCTCCACAATTTTCTAGCTTTTCGCTGT